GGTAGCCGATAATGTCAGTCTGACCCGAATGTATGTTTGTCGATCGCCCCAAAAAATGGGCTGGATCCATGTCGATGTAATGTCCGAGAGGGGTCGGATAATTGAGAGGGTTGGACTCTTTGCCAGTTATACCCATCAATTCTGGGTCGGGTTGATTTTAGCAAACTAAGGATATGGTCGAACAACCTGTTCTCCACAACTACAACGACTTTGGTCTTAATCCGACCATCAATATCGAGGGCCGGCTAATTAGGAGGACAAATAGTACGATCTCCGGATCCAAGTCCGTGTCCCCCCTATATTAATTGTTTACACCGAAAATTATAAAAATTAATAAATAAAATTGAAAAGGGACCAAATTTATATGTATATAGTTTTAATTTTCATCACAAAGTATACAAAATATTACTTTAATTTTTGACCCTAACAATGTTAAGCTGGCACTGTGATGTAGATAAATATTTGGGATATTTCCAAATATTTATTATTTATTTTATTAGTTATTTTAGATAATTATCTTTATTGTTTTAGGGTTTTATGGTTTTCATATATATAGGCTTCTTATGCCTAGAATTGTATTCAACAGTTTTTATGATGATTTGATAAATAAAAGTCTGTTCTTAAAGAGGTTTCTATAAACCACTGAGAAGAGTATTCTCAAACCCTAAGAGCTTTTAATTAAGCACTGTGAAGAGTATTCACAAACCCTAGTTTCCGGATATTCTTAGAATTAACGGATCTAGTTCTATCCCTAGAAGCTTCCGCTACATCAGTTGGTATCAGAGCCAAACGGTTCTATTATCTTGATCGCAGATGCATCTACAACAACAACAGCTAGTTGAGATAGTTGAGATCTTGGAAGACTTTAAACAAGATATCAACAAATTTAAAGAAGATGTCAAGAAGATTTGTAAGAAGTTAGAACAAGATTTCAGCAAGACATTAAATAAGTTCAACCAAGCGTTAAAGAAAATCGAAGACAAGAAAATCGAAGAAGCACGAGTTCAAGATATGCAATTGGATGATGATGAAGATGATGAGATCTTTATCGAAGATGATGTTTGTGTTATCGACTTTGTTTTCAAAGAAGGATCCTTTGAAAATCGCAGCCGTGCAAAAATAGAGCGAAATTATATTGATGAAGATTTTGTGCAGAATCTTAATAATCTGTTGTGTGCAAACTTTGTGCAAAAACGGATCTGTGAAGATTCAAGTTACAAACAGATCCGTGCAAAAATCGTGCAAAACAGGTTATTGAAAATTCGAGGAAGAATTTTTCTTGGAAAATGTTTTGGATTCAAAGCCTACAATCAAGATTCGAGGACGAATCTTCTCCAACCCGGAGAGAATGATGGAGATAGATATTTGGAAATATTCCAAATATCTTAATTATTTAGTTTATCAGTTATTTTTATATTTATCTTAATTATTTAGAATATCTTAAGATTTTAATAGTTTTCCTATTAAAATTAAGATTAGGGTTTTATGGCTTTTGTGTTTTCATATAAATAGGCTTCTATGCCTAGAGTTGTATTCAGTTGATTGATTATTGATAAAATGAGTTTTCCTAAAGTGGTTTCTATAAACCACTGAGAAGAGTATTCTCAAACCCTAAGAGCTTTTAATTAAGCACTGTGAAGAGTATTCACAAACCCTAGTATCCGGATATTCTTAGAATCAACGGATCTAGTTCTATCCCTAGAAGCTTCCGCTACATCACACTGTCAATATCATAGCGTCTCAGTAGATTTACGACATTGAGTGACAGAGAACGAATCCAGTAAGTAGCTCATGATAAGTAGTATAGAGACGGAATATCGCCAGCATGCCATTTTCAGATGATTACGATTCATGGTTAACTTTCAAGACCACTGGAGAAGAAGAATGTATTAATGAGAACTCCAAAATGTTTTTTCAAACCAAAATATTTATATATTAATTAAAAATAATACTTTAAATGATATCTAATTACAAGTGTGTTAGACCACTCCAATGGGTTATCTATTTTCTTTACTCCAAAAATAGATTACTTTTGGTGCACAAAAAATAGATTACTCTAAAAATATATGTAGGTTTTGCTCTAGTGGTTTACCTATATTTTTACTCTAAAAAGTATGCTAAGTATATTCCTTCTTCACTTATTTATTAATTTATTGTTCAACTCATTTTTTCCTTTTTAATGTTGGAATTGCACCCTCATAGTTTATATTAACAATAACACAATACAACAACTACAGTAGTAATTAAAAACTAAAGGATTGTTTCAAACACGAAAATAGTATTAAGCCACATAAATAAATAAAAAAACAAATTACATAAATTTTCTCTTAGCCATCATTATCTTTAATGTACCTCTCCAACAAATGTTCCATTAACTCGTTTCAAAGTGAGAAATAGACTTCTTTATCTTTGATTTTCCTATACCGAATAAAAAATTCTTGGAATAGAAATCTGTAGAAGATCCAAACATTCAAGCATATATTTAAGGAGAACAAACATGAATTTTGAGAGAAAGATGAATCAACAAGCTTCTTCTTCATCAATTTCATTTGGACAAGTTTTTACTAATCTTGGTGAATCTGGAAATGATCTATCAAAATATTAAATCATAATGATGTTATATAATAAGATTGAGTCTTTTATATTCTTGTTATTGCTTATGTAGTTTTAACTCATTAATTAGTATTTCCTATATTTTCTTATCTAATATAAGTTATTAGTACATCTAAAGTTTAATTCAGTTTAATAATAGTCTTCATTTGACCCGAATAATAAGCGTGTAATCATAACCCGAGGCTATTATAAATGCTATAACAAAGCTTCGTAAGAAAATTTTACAATATTTAAATGTACAAAATATAACATATAAATTTTATAAACTGAAAACTTATAACAAAATAAAGGAACACTTTGTAAATAAAAAAATTCAACTCCCAAAATAGAGTTAATGAATAGTTTACTCTATATTGGCAGTAACACTATCTATCCCTCTATATCTTGGTATAAGTTTTGCCTTACGATTAGAGTGATTTTCGCTCTACATTTTGTGTTTAGAGAGAAAAGTAGAATATCATTTGAGATGCTCTTGTGCTCTTTTCTTCCATTTCTACTATTTTCATTAATATATATATATATGTATTAACACTTGTTAAATCAGCTAAATCATCATATAATATATAATCTATTATATATGATGATTAATCATCTGCAGTCTCTGGAACTTTTGATAAGCTTTTCATCTAATAATCTGTAAAAAATTGCATTGTCTTGTACTTAAATTACTTCTGTGTAGAACTTTTAAACTTTTGACGACTAGACCACTAATGTATTTTACTTATTATGATAACTCTTTTAAACATTTTTATATAAAAATATTCTAATATATATATATATATATATATATATATATGTTTTTTTCTATAATGACGCACTACACCCAAGTTGTTCACATTATTTAATTACAGGATATAAAAACTCTTCAGATTCGATGTAAAAAAATTATTGACTTTTGAAATCCCTTATATATTAATCCTGAAGCATTCATAAATGCACAACCTTGGAGAGCATGCTTACGTGTCAAGCTCACAGAGCTTCTCAGCCTTAATTTTTTAATGGACCAACTTTACTAGGAATGAAATAATGTAACATTAAATTTTTTGCATTTAGGACTATAATATATAAACATTTTGCAAGGGACCAACTCTGCTAGGTATAAACAATATATTTTATTTCCTTAAATAAAAGCTACGAAATTACCTAATATGATTATCATATATATGTAATTAATGATTATGAATAATACATATTTTTGTGTCCTCTCTCTTTTTTGTTTAATTTTAAATTATTAAAATAAATTAAACAATCACATTAAATATATAATAAAAAATTAATTTTTTTCTTATAGGTTATATTTTTAATTTTTAAAACGACCATAAATAACTAAAAATAGTAAAATCCCTTATTGAAAATTTTATGATCAATGGTTTAACTTTGTTTTTTTTCAAACAAGATACAAATTATCATAAATCGTACGAATATGAAGTATCATTAGTAGATATTCATATTATAAATATGTTAATTTAAAAATTTCAGTGAAAAGGTTTGAGGTTAGTAGATACAGCTTAAAGTATTCAAAAGATTTTTGTAGTTTATTTTATTTGTT